ATGTGCGAGGTTGTGCGTTGCTTTAAATGTTTGGTAATATTATCTTTGGAAGGTAGGTTTCGAAACCGACTTCTTTAGGATATTATTCTGGTGAAATGTGTAGCATATCGACATAAAAGCCACATTGATGTTTCTGATTTCGTTGACCTAGTTAGCAGAAAAAGATGAAAATAATTTACAGAAAATTTTGAGCTTACATTGTCTCCCACTCTCTGACTCTCTCCGTCTTTTCTCACATATTCTTTCCTCTGAACGTCTGATGAATTAACATTTTTTGAGGGTTAAAAATTGTCTACGTGTTTCTAAAATCATTTTAGTTACTTAGATTTATGTACATATGTGCAACATTTGTCAACATTGCCTAATGGATTTTTGTTTACAAGTTCATTAAAGTAATCTCTTGTGTATTGTCACTATCATCTGTAAGATGAAGTTATGACTTAGAAGTAATATAAAAATGTCAGTTTGTGATTAAAAGTTATTTATTGATAAAAAAAAAACGAAAAAACAGAAAGGCAACTCGTGAGAAGTTGAAATTTATTGCTGAGAAGACCTTAATGTCTTCTCAGGAAAAACAGCATTCATGATTTATTAGGCGTACGGCTATTCGGGAAACTTGAAGTCCCCATGATAATTCCACGAACTGTCAAATCCCTTAAATTGCTGCTTTGAATTCATCATATTCGATCCACATTTTTATCTGAGTATTATTTCCACTGTTTTTTTAAAGGGTGTGTGTTGGCTTTCTAGTTGACAGTAAATAGGCCAACCGAAATCAACTGTTGAAGATTTTATACAATATACGAGGAAATTGCACTTATGCATAATATAAATTCGTAAAGCGTTATTATCACCAACCTTCCTTTGTCTTTTTTTTCTCTGATGGTTTCTTATGTCGTTAGTATTCTTCTTGATTGAAATCCCATGTTGAGTTGTCGATGTAGAGTGAAGCTGATTTGAACAGATACACAACTATCCCATGTCTTATGTTGTTTTTGCTTGTCTGTCTGATAGGTTGACAGTGAAGATTCCAATAAGGCGATATTCTTCCATCAGGACTATTCTATGAGAGAATATTAGGTAAAATAGGTTCAACTGAACATACATAATGATCAAGTAGGTCACAGGTTCGAATCCCAATTCACCCAATGATGTTCGGATAGCCTGGTAGTAGCACTTCCCCGCTTTTACAGTAGGTATAGCTCATTGCCTACTGCATGAATGTGCACCAGGTTGCTGAGTGGGTTTTGATTTTCTTTTCATAAGTGATGAACTTAAGAAATGCTAACTGCGATCACAGTTGTAATGTTCTTTGTCTTCTTTCTGAGGGGCTGCATAGTAACCGTAGTAGCTGAGGAAGAATTTTTGTGGAAGAACAACAAATGCATTCATATAAGCAGATAGCTTCTGAAGTAATTTATGGATGCTAGACACTTTAGGATATACTTTCATCCACAGATATCGTGATCTCATGATTAGCACTAACTAAACGGGATCTGAGCCCTATTTTTAGTCACGATATAGGCATCCTGGTTTGAAATATGGTTTAAAATATGAGATTAACTTTCTTGTTGTGACAATCAGACAATAAGTCTCGCTTGTTCAACTAAGCCAGAAATAATGATGGAACTCAACCCCGTAAATATTTACGCACTAGACTTTAAGTCACGTTTGTTGTGTGATACTAATCGGTTGGTCAGATGGAACTCAACGAAATGGGTTCTGAACCCAGGACTCACTGCGTTAAACTTATGTGCTTAAGCCAAACAATGGTAGAGTCACCAATCAGCATGTTTTGGGCTGTATTACATATATATTATAGAACAAGAGATGAGATCAAATCCCCTAGAGTTTACACAAGAACGAAACCTGACTAGTCAGTTGCCAGTTTAATTGTCATTCATAAATAAAAGATACTATGCTTTTGGATGAGGTCTTTTCAGAATGACCGTATTGAATTGGTAGGAAAATTGAAAGGATCACTTCCTCCTAATAAGAAGAATACAACTTAGGGACTGTGGTAACAATACCTCTTTATATATTACATAGTGAATTAACATTACTAACGGGATCCTGTTATCGAAAAGTAGTTTCATCCTGGTAATATAATTCATACTGATGTTTGTGTCAGATATAAAGTTTGAAAACAGTCGGGTAAATTTTCAGAGGTTTCTTTGTTTGCACATCAATGGACTTTTGTTTTTCCGAAGGTTAGAGTTCATTGAACTAGTGTTGGAGTTATACGGTGCATTTAAAATCTTAAAATATGATTTGCTCCAGAAAAAATTCTATAGTGTATTTAAATCCTCGGCTATATTATTATTCATTCATTTGGAAGAGGCATCGCAGAGAAATATGAAATTATTCTTATTGTTTGATGCTCATAGGATTTTAAGATAATAGAGAATATTTTTAGCCCCGGCGTATGATTTTGATGATATTTGTGTTCTCTGGGCTGGATGGTTTAATCGTGAAGCTTTCATGGTCATCCTCAATAACATCATTAATAAATTTACTGTATGTATTATAATCTGCTTGGTGGCTAGCAGTAGAGTTCTGGACACATGTCTCGTCCTACTTCCGAATCGTCAGCTGGACGTGTGTACACCCTAGTGAATGATGGTGTTCCCATTGAAACTCGAACCCCCAGTGTCCATCTCTTCAGACGCCAAAGCGTTACTCACTAGAATCACAATGAAAGCTTCAAGATTAAATCATCCAGCTCAGAGAACACAAACACCATCAAAATTATTTTTGTTATCTTTGGCATAAATTTATCATTCTTCATAAATGCAATCTACCCTCCTTGTTTTCGGTGATAGTCTGTGCTCGGGAATCAGGAATACAAAATAGTGCAAGTACTGATCGATGTTGGCAGTTAACGTTCGTGGGCTTCAACGCCGCTTCATCCTATTGAGGTGTAAGGGGAAAGCTAGTATCAGTAAGCTTCACGTAGAACCTGTTATCAGTAATACATGAACCTGTACACAGTTGCTCAGTTACACTCTTTATACAAATATTACTAGTTGACGCAGTATTTAGGTCTAGTTGCACTCAGAATCACCTGAAGTAGTCCTTATTTTAGTTTGGTGTATTGAGTAGTACATGAAGTCTAGAAAAGGTTAAAATGCTCACATTATTGTGCATAGGAAGTTTAATAGTATACATATTGAGATGAAACAAATAAGAACTGACAGAATATGATCTTTTTAACGAAATCAAGAAGGAGAATTGAAGCGCGAACCAGGGTTATATTCATGAAACTTTTATGGATAATTGATGAAATGAGAGATCGAATATGTTTTTTGTGTAACAAAATTTAATATCACAAAAAGAGAAGAAAAAAATATTTGAAACTTGGGTTTTCATCAGTGCTTTTATTCACCAGGTCGTTAATGTTTTTGGCAACATTCTTCGTATTTTGCTATCTGTAAGATATCTCATTGCATAGATCGGTAGAAATCAGCAACCCGGAAGCTAGCATATAATTATATATTCATTCAAACCGCTGTAATTCACATTAACACAACCAAATTAGGTGAAGAGTACTAGGCAAATCGATTGATGAGCTTGAAAACCTTAGTCGACTGAGATGATTTGGACATGTATTGCACTTGCCGACCCACAACCAACCTCCGTGCACCGTGCTAGGGGAAGTTGGATTAAGTTGGAAGGTGGTTCAGGATGGCCAGAACAAGACGCAGCACTACTGTATAAAGTCCCTCACTCTTGGTCTGAGCCGTGTAAGGAGATGTGGATTACCTAACTGGGTTCATCAAGATGATAGGAATCAGTGGTTAAAGAATCTTGGTGACATGACTGAAAATCGGTCACAATGGTGTAGATGTAATCACTCCTTGACACCGTCTAAAGCTTGAATATTCGCACTAACTTTTATCTTCAGATTGTTAATTCTCTTGCCCTTCTTTGATATAGCTCTTTTTCTAAAAACCTGTTCTTTGTATTCAACTGTGAAGAGTGACAACTTAGGGCGATGAATTTGTTTACGAGACTCTACTTTGATTTTGTCTGTCTGCCCCAGCATAATTGCAGAAAGTATCCACAAATGAGAAAACAAATCAACGTAATTAATGCTGTTGAGGGTTATGAAGACACTTATGATACATAATCAAGGTGACAGAAAATATGTAGCCTTATAATATGAGATACAAATATTCTTTATCATTATGATATCCTGTTTTTGATTAATTTCCCTATTCAACTTATCGTAATCACATCTCGATAACGCATACGATTTTATAGCTACGTTTACTGTGTTTATAAGTAATGGTTTCGTAAACGCTAAATTGATTAGGATATCACTTTTACCATTGTTTATTATAATAAATTTTAGTCTAAGTAGTTAAGTTTTGTTACCTATGATTATAGACTGTTCTTTACCAATAAAACATGCAGTTATTTCTGGATCCTTTTTGCATAAACCTTGTTCTCAAATCTTTAACGGGAACTGATGTTGCTTATGTTCACGTATTTAACAAGTAACGTTTTCGTCATACTACAGTTTTAAGTTTCACAATTATCCACTATTGAATATGATCGAGATTTGATCATATTCATATAAGGAGTTCATTTACTAGCTGGTTGTTGTCATAATTCATAAACGTAGTAAATAGTGCCTTCCTATTTTCGAGTCAGTACGAATTTTGACAATTAATGGTATACAATCAAATCCAACTGATGAATCCGAAATCGATCGAAACTCATATTTTGGATTCCATTAATGTTCAGTTTCCAATACACTGTTGATTGCCAAATTTAAAAGAAGGTTGATCCAACAGGCTATATATATAACATAAGGTTTTATCATTCAACTGTACGATGCTTAAAATTGCCGGGATATTCAATCATGTTAATTAGATTATAATTCCTACTTGAGTGTAAACCTTCACTCAGTGAATAGTAATAATAACGATAATTTCATTGCGATGTCTTTTTTTTCTAATTCTGCCTTTTTATTCTTTGCATTTTTTACTGATCAGATCTCAGAAATGTTTACCCAATTTTAATGAACGTTCTCATGAAAATTTAAGTAAGCTGTCGTTGATTTCCTTTTCTATTAGTAGTAGTATGCCGTGACGTAATCTTAATTTTTTTTTATACCATATGTTAAATTGCCCATATTCTTGTGTTTTCTACTACATTTATTTAGAATAAGTTGATATTTGAGAAATAGCTTTCTCCTCCCTTCTGTTCTCTTCAATTAAACCGTTTTCTTTGAATTTTTGCCTACTATTTTTTTTTTTAATGGGTGTTATGTCTATTCTCTATAAGGGATTATCACTAAAAGTGGAAGGTCTAAAATTCATGAGATATATAACTTGGATTTGCTATAAATTTCAGGTGAGCGATTTTTGTTTAAAGCTGAGGGATCCAAGCTAAGAAAGTTTAATCATCCATCCGATTGATTGACTAAGCTGGTTCGGTTACGTTTCACTCATTGTTGATAGTTTTATTGACTGGAAACTATCAGAGACCAAATCAGTTGAAGACTGAAATCAGATTGAAGGCAACTAGAATAACATAAGTTAGCCTACAATCTAGTACAAAAGTTTATTAATCTAAGGTGTGACACTTCAGCGCAAGATGCAGATAAAATGTGAATAAGAGAAGAGATATTATGGTAAATGAAATAGTATGGGAGTTGAGTGATTAAATATACGAAGATTAATGAAATATACAAGACTTTGAAGATCAAAAGAGTATGAAAATCTGCGGCATTGTGACTGATTTTGTACCATACTACTAAGAATCTTCAACCACTGATTTCTGTCCCAAGGTAGGCGGCCTACGCCTTCCTGCTCACCACGAACTAACAGTACCACTCCTTTATCTGGCAGCCCTCAGATTTCTTCCAGTTTGATAATACCTTCAAGGTAGATAGTAATTTATCACGTTCAACACATGACAAATCGATATCAGCTACTGAATGTTCACATTCCAGTTGCCTCCCTTGCCTGGTTTCAACATTGCTCAACATTATTCCGCTATGCGCCAGCAATGCTACAAAGACGCTCAACAATATGCAACTTTTTCATATCTTTGGCCATGAAATAGTAGTGATCAGTTGGACATCAAAAGTGCTTTCAGTTGCAGCTGAGGTTTATTCGTTCACTTTTTTCTGGCCTGATCCTAACATACCGCTTTAGTGAGTGCGCGGTAGATTAGGTTCACACAGCTTCGTGTTGTGAATCGAAATCACTCAGTGATAATTTTCACGACTGTTGTGGATAAAATTTCTGAAGATGCATCAATTCCCTCTTTGTTGACGAGCGTCGAAAAACATGAAGCTTCGGTCGAGCAGGGCTTCATGTCGATAGATAATCTCTAACCTTTCTACGTTAGATTTAAAAAAAGTGTTGTCAAGTAAATTGGTTTGTTAATTGAATCGCAGTCGAATTGTAGTCAGTCAACTTTTGATAGAACATAGGACCAGAAAGCGTAAGCTTATTAACAACAATTCACTAATCGATCAGTGTATGCTTTCAGTATAATGTATTTATCATCTTTATCAGCTTGTAATTCTGTTCTGACAACAAACGAAAGTACAATTTTGTTTCCTGGTTTAAAAAAACGTTAAGTACTAGTTTGTTTTCATTTGATCTGTAATTCTAACATTAACAGTGCTTGTTTTCTAAAATAAGATTTAAAAATCACTTCATTTTCGAATATATTTACATTTTTATTTAAGTATTTACTTCTTTATTACAAGGAAGAATGTAGTTCGGAGTGGATGTATTACTTGAATTGAGCGAAAAGACAGACGAAATCAGCGTAGAATCTCGCAAACAGTTGCATCGGTTCACGTTGTCACACTTCACAGTTGAATACAAAGAACAGGTTTTTAGAAAAAGAGCTATATCAAAGAAGGGCAAGAGAATTAACAATCTGAAGATAAAAGTTAGTGCGAATATTCAAGCTTTAGACGGTGTCAAGGAGTGATTACATCTACACCATTGTGACCGATTTTCAGTCATGTCACCAAGATTCTTTAACCACTGATTCCTATCATCTTGATGAACCCAGTTAGGTAATCCACATCTCCTTACACGGCTCAGACCAAGAGTGAGGGACTTTATACAGTAGTGCTGCGTCTTGTTCTGGCCATCCTGAACCACCTTCCAACTTAATCCAACTTCCCCTAGCACGGTGCACGGAGGTTGGTTGTGGGTCGGCAAGTGCAATACATGTCCAAATCATCTCAGTTGATGGAGACTCACAACCTCATCGTGTGAATTTTCTTCCTTGGCTTGTATCCTTCTCCTGACCTCAACATTGTTCACATGATTATTACACCGTATACGAGCTACGAAGATACTTGTGATGAAAACTCTGTAACTCCTTCATATCCTCTACTTTCAATGGCCGTGTGTCACAACTATATAACAGGATTGAGCTGACTGCAGGTCAGTATATTCGTCATTTAGGAGGTAGTCGGATATCTTGCTAGTCGACACCATAGATGATGCACTTTTGCGGGTTTCAAACGGGCCTTCTGTATCCGGGCTGAGATTTTGTCAGCAACCAGTCTCCTCAGCCTGGTGCAACTTGCCAAGTAAGTGACATATTCCATCACTTCACTATTTATCATTGGGAGTAGTTGCAGACTAGTCATAGAGCCTTAATTAAGCAACATAAATAGAACGGTGAATAATATCAAGTGACGGTGTAGAATTTCTCAATAAATGTTTTAACAAAAAGGCAATATTTGGCTCACTCATAGATGGTGGTGAATACTTGTACCTTGAACTTCGTACCGATAGTGATGTCTATCGTTACATTAAGATGGACTAGGTTGCTTGCTAAAACTCAGGGTTATTGAAAATTTTCCTCTGAATATATATTACATCAAATGACTCCTTTTGAACTTGTTTTAATCATTTAAATATATCTTTAAATCGTACGTTTTTCTCTGACGCATTTTCAAAGTGTTTGCAATTTATGAACAGAATTAATTTAAAACAATGGGTCCCTGAACACATAACATTGTGTCATATAACAATTACTAGATTGGTTAGTTGGAATTGCAGATTTTCGTGCTGGCTGAACGAATCTCTACCACCAGACTCATGTATACTTGTCGATTTATTCTCTCACGTAACAACGTATTCACAGAATAGATGATAACCTAACCTTATAATGGTTTTCTTAATAATATTAGTAATGTGCTATGCTTATTTCATTTGAAAATATTATAAAAGGGGTAAATTTGTTGAAATATCGTTTACTGACAGTTACATACTATATCAAGATTATCGTCGGGAATAAAGTGATTTTTATTATTATTTGCCAACGAAAATTTCAACTCACAGAATAACTCAATCTGAAGAATCTCATACAAGCTTTTTCATTAGACTGTGAGTTGTACTTGGTGTATGTATTTATGTGTGCAAGGAGTTATCATACTCTTTGATTACCTGATTCAAAGTAGACGGAATTGTTTTACCTGCATCGCTAACTGTCAAGGACTATAACCTTCAACTGTTGAGAGCACTTCATTATATTGATCACTTGTTTTTCAACTTACGCCAAATTAAACTTCAATACAGACAAGAATTTACCGTCATGGAAGATTAAACGGTCATAATTATCTGTTGTAATCATAGTTGTAAATACCATTTGCTTATCGCTAATCTGATGGAAGATTTCTAGTTCCGATGTTATATGAGTAGGTATAGCACTAAAATCAGATGTGTTCGTATTTCTGTTCATAAAGAATGATAATCGTGGAATTAACTGTTTTGGCTGATGTAGGCTTAGCACCGTAAAGATGAATGAGTTTCGTGACCTGTGTTTTCTATCTAGTTCCAAATTAGGATGTGCTACTTATAGTAATAGTCAGTAATAAAAAAGTCTCATATTTAATTAAAAAAATACCTCATTGCAACTCAAATATGTCTCACATTATATAGAAATATATAGTAAGTTTATGTAGATATTAATTACTCGTGTAACTCCTGGTATATTGGATGAAGAAATCTTGATGTATGTAATCCACATAATTATCTAATAGTTGGGGAAATTGTAATTTAAATCATGATTTGTTATTCTTGCAGTGGCTTGAATACCTTTCATGCTTGTGTTTTAATAACAACAGCACTTTCAGTGACTTTCTGGATGTCTTCATCTTCAGTGCCAGGGTATATGATTCCTACCTGACTAAACATTAGCATAAGGGTTGACTGATTACCGTTTTTCCTGTTTTAATTGTTCACAAAAGTTTGTGTTATCCTCTCATATGGAATCTAATAATTATAGTTTCAGTGTTATGTTTGTATCTTATCCAGTGATACTTTGAACAGTTTTTATTGGATTGAATTTGTATCGATGTCTTAAAATTCAAGTGGTATTATCCAAGTGACCTGACCTTCTAAATGCGTAAAACCTAAGTTCGCAGTAGTGAAAGGTAGGTAGAGGTAGGTAGGTAGTGACTGAATTTCTCCTCTGAAGAAGGTTACCAACGATAAACCTTCTATTTACAATCAAGAAGTTATTCTTGAAAATGAAAAGCATTCAACTAACAAATGAATTCCTGACTACCGTCGTACAACTGGATTGATACTTACTTCGAATCTTTTGCCTTATGATATGTCAGTTTAGTTTTCACACATTTAGTTGCCTTAGTGAACTTAATATGTGGTTTAGTCACTGTATAAACAAAACTAGTAACATGAGTTGTAGAATTTTCCAAGTATCTTCAGTAGAAATTTATTCTTTCCGATTACATGTGCTCAATACTGATTCTGTGAATAAAGCTTCAGATATCACTCTCTTTCTCTACTCTGATTAAGTTGTTTCGTACCATCTCATATTGCTATTATGTATGATGGCATGCATTCTTAAGGCTGAGATATTCTCTAGAATTTCAGTTTGCTCAATATTTTGCATTTTAATCGATCTCAGTTGGCTGCTTTGACATATATATTTAACTTAACAATCATTGCATGGAATTCGACAAACTGAATTATTTTATCGAATGGGCTCCATGTGATCCTTCAGCCAATAGCTATTGTTTTTTGTAATAGTATCTAT